TACGATCCTTCGGGAATGACAATTTCCTCGTCGTCATAGTAAAACTTGTTGTTTGTCGAATTTACATTGGCTAGTGTATAGTACGTTTCAAAGTCCGTCAGACCGAGCTCGTATTCACCGTCACCCAAATCTACCGCCGGAAAGTAGCTTACGGCGAGGACGCTACTCTTGCCAGTCAGCGTAAATGTCAGCGACATGTTTGAACGAGCACTGAGTCAAACAGCGCAATGCCTGTCCTTAAATTGCTTATCAACCGATCGTAGAAACTGTTGGCAAAGCTGCCCGCAATTGTTCTGATTGTAACGTTGATGAGATGTGCGATTGTACTCGATTACAGGGTTGTTATGTTTTAAACAAAACGTTTAAAACGGCTTGTTTAAAACATGTTTAAAACATTGGACATTGTTTAAAACACTTTTATTTTAAACGTTTTTAAACTATTGTTTAAAACTGTTTAAAAACACCGTAATTAAAACATGTGATTTGGAAAAGAAATTGTCAAAAATAAACAAAAAAACAATTGTATGTCGCAAAAATCATGTTTTTATTTATTTATATATTATATTTAGTTTATACGCTGATTGTTCAATACTCATACTAACTAGTAATTTCCTATAAAATTATTTCAATATCGGCAGTGTGCGTACTGTATTCAAAGAATGGTGTGTCAAAAACTAAAATAATACAATAAATATCAAGATAATCAATTAAATACATGTAATGTGTATTAAATTAATAGAAAGTTGCTAGTTGTATGAGTATGTATATACATATATATATATAAAACAATGAAAAAAGTCGATGTGTAAACTATAAGGACTGAAAATAGTGAAAATTTAATCTGACAACAATGCATGCTGTCCATTTAATGACACAACTACACAAGTTGACACAAGTCGACACAAGCATCGTTCTATCCTTCTTGACATTAAGAAAGTGACAACGATAGAATGACACTTGTGTCGACTTGTGTCATCAAATGGAAGGCACCCAATAACTACACTATACGAGTACATTTGCATTATTGCCACTTACTTCGTGATGAATTGCAGCATGTAGACTGGTAATTAAAATAAAAAACGAAATTGAAATGAAATAGTAAAAATAATAGATTCCAGAACGTTCGGATACAGATCTTTGGAATAATTATAATAAAATAAATCAAATAACACGTGTATATTTGCACACTCATACTGGCTTGATACATGTACTTGTTTTGTTTCGATGCGGTTATGACACGGGCAAACTAGCGCCAGCGGCACCAGCGCGACGTGCGACGCGATATGTGACATTGAGATGATATTTAGATTCGAAAAGTCATGCAGTATTCCTGATTTATCAGCCCGATTTACCCGCAGAATCAATAAAATCGATAATGAATTCGCGTACACTTTGGAAAAGCGCTCACACAACAAGAAACATGTTAATAGTAAAATAAATTAAAAGTAATAATAAATAAAAATAACTAATTCTTTCAATTTCAGTTATTTATCTTAATGACGAAAGATTCAAATATTCACACAATAATTTTTACTTGTTTAAGCAACAAAAAAGACATTTTAAACAAAATAAAACATGTTTTTTTCTTGTTTAAAACATGTTTTTTTTGTTGCTTAAAAAACACAAAATAAAACAGAAAACATTGTGCCAAATAAAAAAAACAATGTTTTTTGTTTAAAATAAAAAAAACATGTTTTTTTAACAACTCTGCTCGATTACACTGTTTGCCAGATATCGCTCGAGTTCCTTCGGCGGCCGAAGATTACCGAAACTGTCAAAGTACACGACGCGATTCCCTCTTTTCTCATATGCCACCCAATGCGTACCGGGTCCCACGACATTGTCTAGATTTACGATACCGCTCTCATTTCGACGTACTCCTTCAACCGGTAATGTAGTACGCATAAAGACATCTCTAAAATATGGAATGCGCATACGGTTTGCAAGTTGTTGCAGTTGCACATCGGTAGTTACTCCCCTCGACATTTTTAACGTTTCATCGACGTTTTTTTTTTCTACGCGCGACACCTCGTCCGCGCTTGTAGGGAGCGAGATAAACGCCGCGACCTTCCATGACGCGGTTATGACGTTGCAGTTCTTCCAGCTGACGCTGCGCTGCTTTGCTATCGTTTACGACCTTAGCGACTCCCTAGGCGCCCCGCCGACCAATGACCCGAGAACGCCGAGCAGCGGTAAAACGGGCAGGATACCGCCGCGTTCCGCTGTCAGAAGAATCCTCTTGCTCCTCTTCTTCTTCTTTGTTTTCAAGCCCATACCAATCTTCGTTTTGGCCTTCATAGCTGCCCAAACGACTGTGCGTGTCGTTCGGTGAGATCGTTGCTGTGCGAATACACTATGTCGTGCTCGCGACACACAGCATTCAATGGATTAATACCTCGATTGCTTCTGGCCAATCGCTTCTCCAATCGCGTTCCCGGATCGCAAAACTGATATCCGGGAATATGTAGTTCGAAGGGAAGCGCGTTTATCGCACGATTTAGTAAGCCTCTCGACGACATTCGCTACAATTCTTTATCAAAGGCGCCGGACTGTCGATATGCGATTGATGAGCCGGCAAATTGTAATGCTTCAGACTCCGACGGTATCGCTGTACCTCCGAATTTGCTTGTATATGCTCGGGTAAACTATCCACAACAGATCTATGCAATTTTCGAACTTACGCAGCAGTACAATTTTCGGTGTGTATTCCAGCTCTTTTGAAGTTAAACTGTGCAGATCATCTGACACGACGAGAAACATTTTGATTACTGAGCGATTTTGCTCTACGCAGTTCTATAAATAGGCCCGCTCGCGATATCGTTTTCAGTATTTTGTGGAAGGAGGAAATATGCGGTTCGTACTCCAATCGCGGATGATTAAAGTGACGAATCTCGACGGCAAGGTACAAATCGATAAAGAGACGAGCAAACATGGCAACATGCTACCGGCCTCTATACGCGCGATCGTCTGTGGACCATCAAATTGCGGCAAGACGAACGTATTGTTAAGCCTGTTGGAAAGTCTGCGCGGCATACGATTCGAGAACATGTACGTGTACTCGAAATCGCTGCAACAGCCGAAATATCGATATCTGGCGAATCTGCTAGCTCCTATCGAAGAAATTGGCTATTTCACGTTCTCCAATAACAGCGATGTCATTCCACCAAGCGAGGCGCTTCCTAATTCCATCTTTATCTTTGATGACGTGGCATATGACAAGCAGGACGCGATAAGAGAGTACTTTGCAATAGGACGGCACGCGGACGTCGATTGCTTCTATCTCTGTCAGACGTATGCGAGGATACCCAAGCATCCGCGACAATGCAAATCTGTTGATCCTGTTCAAACAGGATGGTACCAATCTGAAATGCGTGTACAACGATCACGTGAATACCGACATGTCGTAAGAGAATTTTTGCGATTTATGTCGTAAATGTTGGCAGCAAAAGTATGGATTTCTAGTAACTGACAAGGACAGTACGCTTGCCGATGGGCCATACAGAAAAGGATTTAATGACTTTGCAATACCGTGATGCGATCAGTCGACATCGATACGTTGACATGGACAACAGCAAAGATCGTGAGAAAGTAGCTAAGGAGATTGCGAAAACGAGCGATTCGATTCGCAAAAAGTACCGTGCTTTGAAGACTGGTAAAATGGAGGAGGACATCGCAATGGAGAGACACTTCAAACCTATTATCGACCCGCTGAAACAGATTGTTGAAAACACCGTTGAATCCTCCAAGGATCCTAGCATGAATGAAACGTTCTTTTCGGTGAAAGACGAGGAACCAAAACCCAAAAGAAAACAACCGAGTGCTCTGTATGACAATCCTATACAGGCTTCTACGCCTGTAAAATCAGTGTTGAATCGTTCGAAAACCGTACCATCCACTTTGAACGAAATGTCTGAAATACCACATCCACCCGATTTATCGTACGACCATGTTCCCTCCGTCGAAGAAATTTTCGAGGTTAACGATGAACCGCTTGTGACATCCATTCGACACCTGCTTCAAACATCTGAGGGTCAGGAAAAGTTGCAAACAATCTATGGTCCGTTAAGACAGAAATATATGAAAGCGGTCCTGAGTGGTAAGAAAGCCGTCAACATAAACGTTGTGTATGGAGTTTATTTCAGCGACGACGGAATGATGCTCGGTGACAAACGTATCACCTTGCACAAAAACGACGATATAATTATAGATGGGAAAAGATATGATGGAACAGTGGGCCTGTACGAATTAATTTTCATGAAATTTCCCAACGAAGGTATCTGTACGGATGATGACGTACACACCTACAGAAGCATTCTGCTGACGACAAACGCTCACAGGCGCGGTCATAGCCCGAGTAATCAAGTAATGGGTAGTAGGGGATACAAGTATAAGAACATAATAGCGCCATTGGTGTCGAGTAAAAAAGTTGGAACGGTAATAAACAGAAGAGTGGATTTACCGCGTACGATGACACTAAACGATAACAAGATTGAATATATCCATTGGAACGATCCCAACGAAATTGTGGATCGTCTGCGATTGCTCGAGGCCTCGCCCCAGGCTGGTCACAATGGTCACGACAACGAGATTTAATCCATTATCGAAGAGCGCGAAGCCAGTCTGACTATAAATTAACCTCGTTCTACGCACATCGTTCAGTCAACATCACAATGCCGATTAACAATTTTGGATTATCACTTGGAGGAGGAGGAAGCGAATCGTACTATCAGTGGCGTGGATTGCTCAGAAATTACATGCGCGATAACGCTCTTTGCATAGTCGGAGCCGACTTTGACGCAAAGTCGCGCAAAATTCGACGAGTAGCGCTACCGGTAGATGATGCTGACGCAGCAAACAAGCGATACGTGCAGCAGAGTGTTCAAGATTTGAAAGATCGTCTAAACGAAATCGAGAGGAAGATTGCAACCTTACAAAATAATGTGCAGGTTTTGTTAAAAGAATTTGAAAAGACGATTCGAGAAGTGCATCGTGCCGAATAATTATTCGCAATGTCTGAGAAATGGTTGCTGGTTAATGAATTGCACGCTCCGGCGAGAAGAAATTTTCCGCGAAGACACGTCATAGTACATGGATACGACGACCTGTGGCAGGCGGATGTGATCGAGATGCGTCCATATACACGATTCAACGGAGGTTACCACTATATTCTCATCGTTATCGACGTGCTGAGTAAGTACGCATGGGTCGTGCCGCTTAAAGCCAAGAGTGGAAACGATGTGACGAATGCGATTGCAAAGATAATTCGATACGATAAAAGATGTCCGAAAAATTTGCAGACCGACAGAGGGAAGGAATTTTACAAATCGAATGTGCAGAAACTCTTGAAGAAGCACGACATCAACCATTATTCTACGTATTCCGTAATGAAGGCGTCGGTCGTCGAACGGTTCAACCGTACGTTGAAGAACGACACGTGGAAACAATTTACGCACAACGAAAATTTGCGAGCGGAATATCGTACGCGTTGTCAACTGCGTAATCACTCGAGTCAAATCTATTTATATCACGTTTCATGATATCGTAGATATCGTCACATTTTACGTGATATATAAGGCTATCTGTGTCGGTATACATAATTTTGCATTTTTCGCGAAACACTGATGCCATGTACTCGTGGTGAAATTCGTACAAACATGTTTTCGATATATCGAGGATGCACATACCCACGTATATCGGTTTGTCGAACTTCACTTCGAGCTTACGTAATTCTATCGCGACCAGGTTCTCCGAAAAGATGCTGCGACTGTGAAAATTTGGTTTGGCGATTATTGCCTCCGCACTGTATCTGCCTTTCCATTTTGTTAGTAATTTTACGTCGATGCGATCGCGCACGTTCTCCATGATTTTACCAAATACCGCATTATTCATAAGTTTGTATAAATTTTTCTCGAAATCGTTCTTGACCAAAGTTCTAAATTTTGTGTTTAATTCTATGTAATCGCGAAGTCATGGAAATTGCGCGAATTGCAGTATACGTGAATCTTTGCGATATGGAGGCCGTGACGAGTACACTGCTGCAGGTTGCGATAATGTATGACGTAACGTTGCTTATCGCATAATGTTGCGAGGAGTTTTTATTGCGCTTGCCTGGTGGTTTCTCTCGCGTCGTACAGAACGGTAGGTCAGTGTGCGCGTC